ATTAATTAAAATAAATAGTAAATATATTTAATATATTTTTAAAATATTAAAAAATAAAAAAATTTAACCATTATAATTACAGAATAATATTATTAAACTAAACCCATAACTTGTCAGTTGTCACGTGGTCAAGATTTGGGCTGAAATGAATGCATTATCCTTGCCTTCCCTATGGTTTTGAGCTGCAACATTAAAAGTCCATCAAAGAAGACTCCTACTCCTCCAGGCTCCTCCATTGCCTATTTTCAACGAACAAAAAAAAAAAAAAAAGAGAAAAAAAAAAAAGGGGGTCCCCCTCCCCCAGGCTCCAGCCCCATTGACAACTTGCGTGCGAAGTTAGGATTAAATTTTAGGCAGTGCTAGGAGCACTCGCTCCTTTCAGTCGCCTATGGACACCGACATCTGCTGAAAACACATCACCCTTGCTTTTAAATTAATTACCGGCAACTTACATAATGGGTTATCTTAAAGTTTCTTATAAACATGATTCTTCTTAAAATTATTTTATAAAACGGATTATATATTTAATTCATTTTATAAAATTATTTAAATATTTTAAAAAATAATATAAAATTAAAATTAAAAATATTTAAATAATTTTATAAAATAAATTATATATAATCCGCTTAATAAAAAACAATGGTAAAACCAAAAGTTAAGCCCCCGAACTAAACCCATAATCGCTATTAAGCCCCTAGACTTTAATTGATGCAGTTAAGCCCTTGAACTCTGGGATCAAAGCAATTGAACCCTTCTTCTTAAGCAATTGATTTTAAAAATTAAAGTCTAGGGGCTTAATAGTGTAAGAAGAAGGGCTTAATTGCTTTCATCCCAGAGTTCAAGGGCTTAACTGAATCAATTAAAGTATAGGGGCTTAATAGCGATTCTGGGATTAGTTCAGGGGCTTAACTTATAGTTTTGCCTAAAACAATTTTCTCTTCAATCTACTTCCTTAAACAAGAAAAAAAAAGGCAAAACCATAAGTTAAGCCCCTAAACTAACCCCAGAATCGCCATTAAACCCCTAAACTTTAATTAATGCATATAAACCCTTGAACTCTGCTATCAAAGCAATTAAGCCCTTCTTCTCACGCCAACTTAACTGCTGTTTGGACTTGCTCGCATGGCTTAACTGCCGTTTATGCTTGGCTGCTTGGATGGCAAAATATTGCCATGTCATGCTTATATGGCAAAGGAATTAATATTTGAGTGAAATTTTTGACTTATTTGATCATTTAATTTTTTAAATAAAATAAAATAAAGTCATATGTTTGGGTGAAAATATTATTTAAATAAAATCTTAAATTTAAATTTAATAAATA